TGGGCAGAGAACAATCTGGAACAATCTATTTGTGATCTTGGCTTCACCTCAAGTTGTGCCTAAATGAGCGCCCTCCTGCAACTGCAGACAAGGGAAAGCACTGTGTTTGTAGCCTATCACCAGCTGGAGTGATCAGATCAAGGAGGGCCCTTTATGACAGGGATGAAAATCAGCAGGTTCTGATAGAGAACCAGTAGCGGAAATTTTGAATAGTTTGGAGAATTGGGAAATACCACCTCTGGCTGGCTCCAGAGTGGGGTGGGAATGGAGATTTTGCAATATCCTTCCCCCAGGAGTGGGGAGGGAATGGGGATTTTGCAGTATCCTTCCCCTGCCACATCCACCAAGCCACACCCACAGAAGCGGTAGGGAAAAATTTTGAATTTCACCCCTGCTTTACAACCTGTGGATTTCAACTCCCACAATTTCTGAGCTAGCATGTTTGGCTCAGGAATTCTGGGAGTTGAAATCCACAGGGCGTAAAGGAGCCATAGAGTTGAAGTCCAGAGGTTGTAGAGTTGTAGTCATAGAGTTGAAGTCCACAGGATGTAAAGAAGTCAAAGTTGCCCACCCCGGGTCAGACTATCTATGAGTCTGACTAAGGATGAGTCCGATTAAGGATATGAAAAGTATTGCTGAAGAGGCAAAGCTAAACCAGGGTTACATCTGGTTAAAAATTGAGATCCAGCTTGTTGAAGAAGAATGGGAAGAAAAACCTGGAGTCTTATCATAAAAAGAGCAGCTGGTTTGTTCCAAGCAAAGATAGGAGTGAATTCTGAGAATTCTGAGAAGACAGTTCTGAGTATGCAAACTGAAAACTGCTGGAAAAGTGCCCATAATAAGCCTAATTTATTATATCTTATAATAAAAGGACTTGCTCAACATCTGAAGTGACTTGTCTGCGGATCTTGGAACTAAGGAAGAGCCAAAACTTTTGGCTCTTGCTGTTGGGCCAGCAAAGCTGGCATGATGTCAGAACTGAATGAACTCTAAATGGCCTCCATTCTGGTTCAGCAGCAAATGCTGCTTAGAATTGGTATAAATGACTGAAGGCATTGCTGGTGGATTTAAAGGCTAGTGGATCCAAGTGGAAAAAATGATTTCTATGTACTTTGTTTTTGCAATTGGCTAGTGAAGAAGCAGAGATGTAGCAGATATTTTAGTTTATACAGGAGCAGATAAGCAAAAACTACAATAGTAATGGAAAAGTTTTCTGAACATTTTGTCTCTAAGAAAAATATTACATGTTAGAGACATGTGCCTTTTATTAGGTCTCATAGAATAAAGGGTTGATTTGATTCAGATAATTCTCTGAGTTGCTTATAAAAGACAAAATTCTGTGCAGGGAACATTCAGGCAGTCTGAACTAAATTATAGAGGGCATCTGATTTGTCCTTGCATAGAGTTTATTCAAAGTCTCAGATGCAAATTTTGTAGCATCCTTCCCTTGCCACACTACATACATATACACATTTAATTTTTAAAAAGTTTATTATTAGCCTTATTGAAATTGTGGAACTTTTATATCAAGATATACTTTATTCCTTATACTGTCTCTTATTTTCCATTAAACATTAATAGAATCCACAATGGACTGTGAATCAGCATCTCTGCTAGATAATTGACAGTCAAGCTGAAACTAAGATAATCAAGGAAGAATAGCAAACAGGAAAATCTTTTATTCAAACATCCTTAAACCCCCAAATAAGTTACCCAAACCTAATCCACATATGAAAGGAGAAGGTCTATAAAGAAATAGAGTTAATTAAAATGGTCTCCCAGTGGAAACATGTTCACAAGAATAAACATTATAGATGACATGTACCTACAGACACACATGCCCCTCAAATGTCATTTGTCAGCACATACACACTTCCACAAGCTCCCCTATAAAACAACCCTTTTGTAACCCGTTTTTGCTGTAGCTGCCCCCATAGGCAAACCTCTATGCTTTGGGGAATAAACAATTCTCCTTTCTTCACAGCTGTTTGGATTTCATTTTTATTTATTCCTGTGCAACCCCAGCTTGAGTTGGAACCCCAAATAATTCTTCTGACAATACTCCCCAAAGGGGCAGATAATGCCATAAATACATCTTTAAGGAGACTTATTAATCAATAAATACCTGTTAGATATCTGCCTTTTACAGTGGCATTTTATGTTGTATCTGCACATTGCATCCCTGTTTGGGGGGGGGGGGGCAGGGGTGAAATCCAGCAGGCTCTGACAGGTTCTGGAGAACCGGTGGCGGACATTTTGAGAAGTTCGGAGAACCGGCAAATACCATCTCTGGCTGGCCCCAGAGTGGGGTGGGAATGGAGATTTTGCAATATCCTTCCCCCAGGAGTGGGGAGGGAATGGGGATTTTGCAGCATCCTTCCCTTGCCACACCCGCCAAGCCACACCATGCCCACCAAGCCACGTCCACAGAACCAGTAATAAAAAAATTTGGATTTCACCACTGGGAGGGTGGGGTCTGCTTTTGTATGCACTCTGGTTGTTGTGTGTGCTTGGCTGTCTTGTGATGAATAAAATGACTTGTTTGCCATTTGCAGTGACTCAGTTATGAATCTTGGATCTAAGGCAAGGTGATTTTGGTTCAGCAAATTGTACCCTAGCCTGATGTCATATAAATCCAAGACTGGCAGATTTTACAAGGTGGCAAGAGCATCAGAACTTTCTACAACCGTTGCGAAGAAGGGCAAACAGGCATCCCAGATAAATGTGGAACAAAAAATAGGAGTCAATGTTATTAAAATAAAACTCAGTTTTCAAGGAATTATGCAAAACTAAGCAAGCTCATCTTCCTTTTAAAAACATTCGATGTCTTTCCTTTTTCCAGTTTTGCTTTCTAAAGTTGCAAAGTTATTTTATTTTTTTAGTTGTTCGTCAAATTTATACTCCACTTTATCATCATTTTTATTCATAGGGGCTGCACAAATTAACCAATCACCACACTGTGAGTTTGGAAAACTCCAACTTCATTGTTTGCAGAGTTGAGGTGGATCTGGGTAAAGTATCATCTGTTAGACCAGTGGTCCCCAACCTTTCCAGCTCCATGGACCAGAAGCGGCGGCGACGGGGGGAAGGGGAGGGGTTCACACATGTGCCCGCCACTTGCACAAATGGAGCTTTGTGTGCTGACCCGCTGTTTGCAAGGCCCGGTTCCCAACGGGATGCACACCGGTACCAGTCTGCAGACCAGGGGTTGGGGACCCCTGTGTTAGAAGCTTCCTTCATTAATTACCCTGACAAACTTAACTGGGAATAATCTGTAACAGATAAACAGATAGCCTCCCACCGACCAGTATGCTCCCATAGAGAGGGGCTCCTCCGGGTGCCGTCGGCCAAACAATGTCGACTGGCGGCCCCCAGGGGGAGAGCCTTCTCTGTGGGGGCACCTACTATCTGGAACGAGCTCCCCCCGGAGATACGGAGGATCCCGGATCTGCGTACTTTCCGTCGCGCACTTAAGACGTTCCTATTTCATCAAGCTGGCCTGACCTAAATTTTCCTCTTTTAAATGGGAATTTTAAATTTGGTTTTAAATTATTGGGGTTTTAAAATGGTTCAGCCAAATTTATTTAATTTGTTTTATCTCTATTTTAAATTTTGTATCTATATGTTTTATTTTATGGCTGTTCACCGCCCTGAGTCCTTCGGGAGTAGGGCGGTATACAAATTTAATTAATAAATAATAATAAATAAGTAAATAAACACTGAGCTGAGTAGTAGCTGAATCTAACCATGCTAATCTTCTACAAGTTCCCAACATGGATCCAAATGGAGTGTTGGATTTTTATTTTTTCCATATTGTTTTGTAGAGGGGTTAAATAAAGAGTCATGTTGGTATCATCATGAGTCAAAACAGATGCTTACATTGCTTAGAATAAGGTATGTGCCTGTGACTTGTTAGATTCAGCTCCAGTCATTTAATAAAGATGATCCACCTATAAGCATCTTGTGCTTCTTAGTTATATATTTATTTCAGTTTTTCAATTAGTTGTAGAGTATCTTCAACACTACAAGAAGAGTGAATTAGAAAATGGGGCAGAGTTCATTTAAATTACCTGCCGTGTTCCCTACCAGCTCATGTATCATTGTATATTTGTACTACAAAATAGAAAAAAAATATATCCACACCTTGAAGCTCCCTTTAGACTATTTCATGCAAGCCATTTGAATGATCATTTGATTCCAGCAGGATCAAATGTTGATCTGCATGGATAATACAATGCACAAATTAGAAACAGAACTTTCAGCACTGAGTTTGCAATTAGCATTCAATGCTCTTCTTTATTAAACTGCCAAGTACAGATCTAGTGTATGTGGCTGCTTATTACCTGGCCCTTCATTTTACTGGAGAAACTGCTGACTTCTGTGCATTTTCCAAATGCTTTGAAACGCTGTCCTTGCTCTAAAAACTGGAACACACATAGGATACTTCCAAGAGCTGAACAAAAGCTTTTTCATGGCCAGCTGCAGAAAATAGAAGGGGGAGTGCAAAGGGCATTTTAATAACGTTTTTATTTTTCCACATGAAGCTGTTATGTTCCAGGCAAACTCAGCAGTTTGGCATCTTCAAGAAAAGCTCTCTGTGTGGCCAATTTCTCATTTCCCGTTTTTGTTTGAATCAAAAGGTTAGTACTTAGCATGGGAGAAGCCAGCCAGAGAAAACAAAAACTGCCAAATTTATGAGGCCTTAGCAGCTTCCTCAAGTAAAAATCAGATTATCTGGAAGGTGGAAGAGCTAACAGACATCTTCCATTGTGTTTCAGTTATGATGTCTTAATTCTGCAACACTATCTTTCTGACCAATTCATAATTTCTGACACAACAGAATTCAACGAGAGTGAAATATATTCAGTGGCCATGCTAGGTCAAAATTTGGAGAGATCTAGGTGGGTTTTGTGAACATATTGTGGATATTCTCCCAAAATGTCTTCCCAACTTACAAAATGGTTTCCAGGAAGGATATATAACTATTTGAAAACTTGCCAGGATGGTTTCTTGAGTTCTCTCCATCATTGAAGGATATTCTGTCTTGCCTCTTGTCCAACTTCTAGCCCATGAATAAATGGCCAACAAAGCAGCTGGAAGCAGTCCCCATCATGTTTATCTTCATGAGACCTATTTGGGTTTCAGAGGATTCTTAGAGATGAAGATAATGGAAGTTGGTCCTTTGCTTTGCATTTATTAAAAATATCCACATTTTTGTACATGACAGTATAAAAATACATTGTAATTTCTAAATGCCAGATGAGGCAAGGAATTTGATTTGGTTCTGGATACCCCATTGAAGACTCCAACTCTAATAAAGAGACCCTTCCTCAACATTTTGTGATATCTGACATTTGCCACCCCCTTCCCAAAATCACCAAAAATGCTGTTACCAGAAGTACTATAGCTGCAACTAGGCCAGCGGTCTCCAATGTTTCTGACTCAGCTTGTTTTACAATTCGTAAAACACAACTGCTTATTTTCGTAAAAGGGTTTTTTGCATGGAAGAATTTCCAGATAGATTATTGCAAGTACCATAGTCCTTGAATTATGAACATAATTGGGACTAGAATTTCTGATATTAATCAAGGAGGTTGTTAAGTGAGTTGTTGTACCCAATTTTATGATCTTCTTTGTTCTGATTGTTAAAAAAATCACTGAAGTTGTTAAATGAATCATGGGGCCATTAAGTGAATCCAGTGTCTCCCATTGACTTTGCTTGCAGATAGCCACCTGGAAAGGTTGCAAATGGTGATCACATGACCCCAGGACACGGCAATCCTCATAAATGCATGCCAGTTATCAAGCATCTGAATTTTGATCACGTAACTGTGTGGATGCTGCAACAGTGATAAGTGTGAGGACTTATCATAAATAACTTTTTCAGTGCTGCTGTTACTTTGATTGCTGTTATTTTGATGCTAAAGAAATGGTAATAAGTCAAGAACTACCAGCAAAGTACAAATAGTTGTATAGATATTTTTAGTTTCAAGTTTAAATGTAAACACTGCCGAAAAAAGTATTCAAAAGTCAATTATGTTAGAAAAAATAAACACAGAGAACATAGAATAAATAAAGTTGCAAGGGACCTTGGAGTCCTTTCTAATCCAACCCGCTGCCTGTGGCAGGAGATCCTATACCATTCCGCACAAATGGCTGTCCAGTCATTTGTTGAAAATCTCCACTGATAAAGCACCCACAATTTTTGGAGACAAGCTGTTCCACTGATTAATTGTTCTCATTGTCAGGAAATTTATCTTTAGTTCCAGGTTGAATCTCTCTTTAATCTACCCTTTCATATAATTTTAATTATTTAATAAAATTTAATTATTCGTTCTGCCCTCACTCCCTCTTCTCTGTGACAGCTCCTTAAATCCTGGAAGATTACTATCATATTACCCCTAGTCAGTAGTGGGTTCTACTTACCTTTACTACCTGTTTGCAACAGGGCCACGCACGCGCTCTTCTGTGCAAGCGCAGAAGTGTTTTGATGACATCAGGGTCAGTCGGCGGAGCCTCCCGCTGATTTTACTACTGGTTCTATAGAACCAGTGCTAACCTGGAGCAACCCACCACTGCCCCTAGTTCTTCTCTTTGTTGGACTAGACATACCAGATGAACATTTCCTAAATTGTTCATCATATGGTTTAGCCTTCAGAACACTTATCATCTTTGTTGCTCTTCTCTGCATTCTTTCCAGAGTGTCAACATCTTTTTTGTATCATAGTGGCCAGAATTGGATGCAGTTTTCCAAGTGTGGTCTCACTAGTGTAAAATAGTACTGTTACTTCGCATGATCTTGAAAATATCCCTTTGTTGATGCAACCTAGGACTGAATTAGCCTTTTTGGCAGCTGCAGCACACTGGGTTATACTTAATTGGTGATTTAGATCTCTCTTACAATTGCTATTATTGAGCCAGGTATCACCTATTCCATATCTGTGCATTTGGTTTTTCTTGCCTAAATGTAGGACCTTACTTTTCTCATCACTGAATTGCATTTTGTTGGATCGGGCACAGTATTCAAAGTCCTTCTGAATCTTGAGACCATCTTCCAAAGTGTTGGTTATTCCCCCCAGCTTGGTGTTGTCTGCAAACCTGATGAATTCCCTTTCTATATCGTCATCTAGATCATTTATAAAGATATTGAGGAATACTGGGCCTAAGAAAGAACCTTGAGGTACCCCACTGCATGCTTTCTACTACTCACTGAGTGTGGTTCACCAGCCAATTGTTAATCCATCTGATATCTCACATTGTTCTCTCTTACCAAGTAGCAGGATGTGTTCTACTGTCAAATGCCTTACTAAAGTCTAAGTAAACTACGTCCACAGTATTTCCCTTATCCACTAATTTAGTCACTTTGTCAAAGAAAGGTTTGTCTGGCATGATCTGTTTTTGACAAACCCCTGGCTTCTATTAATTGTCTTGTTCATTTCTAGATGCTCACGGATGTGCTGCTTCATTATCTTTTCCAGGATCTTCCCAGGTATTGATGTCAGGCTGATTGCTCTGCAGTTTCCTAAATCCACACACAGATAACACCCCACGCTACCTTTTTATAGATTGCAACCACGCCAGCTTTTTTCCATTCCTCTGGAAGTTCCCCCATGCTCTGAAAGATTATATTCAGTGAGCCTAAAATCATGTCTGCCAGCTCCTTCAGAACTTGGGGATGTAATCCATCTGGTCCTGGCGATTTGAACTTGTCTAAAATGAATAGATGTTCTCTTACCGTTTTCTTGCCTATTTTGACTTATATTCCTATTCTGTCTCCTACAGTGCTGCTTTTATGGACTATTTTTTCCTTTTGTATGAAGACAGATGCAAAAAATGACTTAAGCATTTCTCCTTTTTCCATGTTTTCTCTCAACTCCTTGCCATCTTCTCCTATTTTGAACTGATTGTTTCCTTAACTTTTTACTTTTTTCTTGCTTCTTACATGTTGAAAGAAAATTATTATTATTATCTCTTTTATTCATTAAACATGAAAATCAACTGAACATTTAAAAATGTGTCACAAATACGATTGACTGGTGATAATGATTGATACGGGTTGCTGCCAGCGTCCTAGGTATCTTAAAATATATGATGTTCCGAATAGCACAGTTTTTTGCAGTTCTGCTGGTGTTATTGCAGGAAGCTGCAATTTCTTGATGTGTTTTGTAAAATTCTTGGACATGGTACCAAGTGCCCCGATGACAATGGGTGTCACTGTTATATGTTTCATCCATAGCCATATAGTTTCGATGGCCATGTTGTGATATTTCGTTATTTTTTTCCAGTTCTTTTTCTTTGACTCTGGCGTCTCCTGGTACAACGATATCAATAAATGGTACACTTCGGCCCTCAACAACCGTGATATCTGGTGTGTTATGTTCCAAATGACGATCCGTCTGTATTCGAAAGTCCCACAAGATCTTCACTGTCTCATTTTCGATAATTTTTTCCACTTTGTGCTCCCATGACTTTTCGGATACAGGTATGTCATATTTTTTACATAATGACGAGTGGACTAATTTAGCAACTTGATCATGTCTAACTTTGTAATCAGTTTGTGCGATTTTGCTGCACTCACATATTGAGTGTGAAACAGTTTCAACTTTGTTGTTGCAAAGTCGGAAGTTTGGATTGTCAGTGGATTTTGTATCTTCACTTTCATGGCATTAGTGTTGTTGTTGTTTTTGTTGTTGTTGTTGTTGTTGTTGTTGTTGTTATTATTATTGGCATTTGTTGCAAGTCTTAATTCATTCTGAGCCTTAACTTCCCTGACTTCATCCTTGCATACTTGGGCTACTTGCTGGTATTCTGTTGCTATTATATGTCCCTCTTTCCATTTTTTTATACTTGTCCTTTTTTTCCCTCTCAGTTTGTCATAGATCTCTGTGTAACCATGCTAAGAAAATGCTGAAAAAAACATGCATGAGAAAATGTTCCAGAAATAGGCTGAAAAAAATCAAGATAGCAACCACAACAATCACACCATCCATGGGGGGGAGGGGCTTTGATCACTTGGCCATGGTTACCACCTTGGCTTTATTAATCTCCTTGTGTCCACACTAGCAACACTGAGTTTCTGAGCTGCTATGAACAATGTACTTCCTTAATATTGGAGAGGGAGAAGGATTAAAAAGGGGTTAATTTCTGTGTCCCCTGTGATCTTTATTTCCTTAAATTAACCTTGACGTGTTCCTCAACCAGTGGTGGGTTGCCCCTGGTTCAGACCAGTTCTATAGAACCAGTAGTAAAACTGTCAGGAGGCTCCGCCCACTGACCCTGATGTCATGAGAAGCGATCTGCACATGCGCAGAAGCAAGGCGCATGCACGAGCGAAGTGAGTGTGCGTGCATGATCCTGCTGTGAACCGGTAGTAAAGGTAAGTAGAACCCACCCCTGTCCTCAACATACACCTTTCTATTTAAACTCAGGCAACATGACAGATAAAATATATTATTTCATAAAGTCCTCACTCCACCCCATTCACTTTGTTGCCTAACTTTGGGGAAAACGTATCTCTAACTGAAAGAACACTTAATTGCTAAAACAATGAATTCCCTGGAGACTCTTTAGAACATTGTCTTCCAAGTATTAAAACAAAGATTATTTCCATTCTCTCACTTACTTTTCGGTACTTCAGACAAGAATTCCCTTGATTGCACAGTCTTCCGTTTTCCTGCCTGCATACTCTAAATCTATGTCAATGACTTTCTTAAAGTCTATTATGTGCCCAATTTTACTGTTCCACTTTTTATATGAGATTAGCTTGTTTTCTTTTCTAAATTGTTGGTACAATACTGAGTTGGATATAATTTCAGTACTCTGGAATTCTAATAATTGATACCACAGTCATGGCAGCCATGTTGACATTCTAACATCTGCACATACCGCATGGATACCTCTGTCTATGTTTTTGAATGGCAATTCCTCATCCTGCCTTATCATTCACCATGGTGTTGGGGGCTGACGGAAACTGAAGTCCAAAATGTCTGAAGAACAAATTGCATACCCCTCTTGATTAAACTCTCAAGGAACAAAAGGAAAGTGGGAATGAACTTTCATGAAGTTGAATTTAAAAAACAAAACAATGTAAACTGAAGCCCTGTTGTTTCCAAAATAAAGGCTAACCATTTATTCTAGGAGCCTTGCTGGCGCAGCAGACTAAACTGCGGTTAAAGTAGCACTTAGCTGCCAGCTGCCTGCAATTACTGTGAGTTCAATTCTCACCAGGCTCAAGATTGACTCAGCCTTCTATCCTTTCGAGGTAGGTAAAATGAGGACCCTGTTTGTGGGGGCAATAAGCTGACTTTGTATAAAATAGAACACCACTTAGGGGGGGCCAAAAAGCCCTACTAAGCAGGTATATACAAAAGTATGAAGGCTATTGCTTAATGCATTGTAAGCCGCCCTGAGTCTCTGGAGAAGGGCGGCATATAAATCGAACTAATAAATAAATAAATAATAAAATAAATAAATTCTTCTGTTTTCCTTAAGGCTCATTCTAACATTCCTTCAAAATCTAGTTATTCCATCTTACCTCAACCTCATTTCTACAAATTATTTCTCAGTACTTTACTGTTTCTCTTTTGTTCATACTTCTTCTTTTGCCAGTTTGAAAAACTACTTCACTTCTGGGCAGCACCTGCCAGTGGGGGAAATCAGAATACATTTTTCATGTTCTTATTTTTCTCCACAAAATCGCTCAAGCAGTTCAAAATACAACCTGTTGCAACAAACATTTGTACAATTCTGCAAATTGTCCATGGAGTTCACTCCCCCCCCCCCCCCGATCACAAACTGTATGCCCTCTCCAATAAAATGGGGCCATTTGCTGTCAAATACTTCTAAAGATGTTGGGCCAAACTTAATATGTCAAGAAATCAAACAAAATGAAAGGGGCATTATCTCAGGTAAAATAAGAACACAAGCTTCTTGTTCTCTTTGCCATAATCGAGAATCTTGGCAGTCTTAGAAAAGATCTCCCAGTATGCCTTTGTCCCTTGATAAGATCTTATTCATTCCTCCATAAAAATGTCCAAGAAGAACATCACATTATGGTGCTTCTGTCATTCTGCAGACTGAGGCATTTGGGGTAAGGCTGCACTGTAAATATTGTGTTTGTCTAAGAAGCATATTAAGGAACTATTAAATAAATCAGAAGTTTCTGACAGCAACTTTTTCAACCAGCATATTTTATTTATGTATTTATTCAAAAAAGGTGCTGCCAGATGCTTTCTGATTTTTTGTCAACTAGACTAGCATTAGCACAAGCACTTAGACTTATATACCGCTTCATAATGCTTTACAACCCTTCTCTAAGCGGTTTACAGAGTCAGCCTATTGCCCCCAACAATCTGGGTCCTCATTTTACAGACCTCAGAAGGATGGAAGGCTGAAGAATCCAAGTAATTATAAGAGTATATGTTATCAGTGTTATTGTTATACCAAAGAATGGCAACCACATTAAGATGCACAACAATTACTATGATATTCTAAACAGGAAACCAAACAAGGAGACCGTTAGGCCACTAGGCAACTGAAGTACTAACATGAGACCTTAAAGAGCTCAAGGAAATTTCGGAGAAACGGAAATTATTATTTGCTTTTGTCTTTACTACAGTGGATGTTGGGCTGATGCCTGAGTTTGAGCTGCTAAAGGCAATAAAATCCCCTGATGGATGATGATTAGTTTTATTTTATTGTGCAGATATAAGTCCAGTACAATATTATTTATACATCTGTTTCATATTTGGTAGAAATCTGTCATTTTTTTCCTACAAATCCTGATAATCTTTGTGCTTAACTGCTTGCTTAACAAAATTACATTGTTTCTTATAAAGATGTATTTCTCTATTCTGTTTCTCCAACATTTAAAAAAAAAACCTTTTCAACTAGTTCTTCTTTAGCTACAGTTGAACTGAATTATTATCAAGCATTTTTCAATGCTGAGCAATAATTTGTTTAACTAATGATAGAAAGAATATAAGCCCTTCTCAGTTTTCTGTTTTTCACTCTTATCGCTGAATATATGTAGCAAATCTAACCTTGGAGTGTATTCAGTCTTTTGTTTAGTCAAAAGGCTTATTTCATTAAAAAAATCCTCCCAAAATTTTGAAATATTAATCACATGTAAATCAGAGGTAAAAACATATTTTGTAAATTTCCCATAAATCCTGGATATTTATGTGTCATATATGATATTCCTATTTGGATTAAATGACAATGATTAAAAAAAGTTTAAGAAACAAGTCTTGTACTCAAACAGAAATAACTCTTTTTAGCTATCATAAAGACAATCAATATAATACTATCTGCATGTCTAAAAATTCCGTTGGGCAGCAAACCAAAATGGCGGCTCCGCAGTGAACCCCGAGTTTAGGGAGGCGATGTTTGACATTTTCAGGGGTGTAGGGGGTCAGTTAACCATCTTTTGACCCCCTCCCATTGAGCTGAGGTGTTGCCGACTCGATAGAGCCGTGGATGGAGCCCGAGGAACAGCTGACTGTCGGGGAGGAGGTTAGAGGACTGCGGCATTACCTGGAGGCTTGGCTGCAAAGACGCCCCCGTTGTTGGTGGAGAAGAGGGCAGCATTACAAACGTTAGGATCCCTCAGTTTTTGAGGGATCTGGACACTCCCCCGCTTTTTTCTGAAGCATGGAAGGGGTTTAATGGGCTGAATGGCCTGAAGATCAAGCTTATGGGGAAGGAACTGAGAATTGTCAGTTGGGGGATGACAGTTGGTCTCCCCCTTAACTGTTCCCCCCCCTTAGTAGGCTTAGGCCTAATACGGCCACTCAGCATAAATTTACAACTTTTGATTGATCTGCAGCCTTATTTGACCATTATTTGACCATCTTGTCCTCCCTGGGTTACCCGGATTATTCAATTATTCAATCATTTATTCCATCCTATGACTACATCTTGCTTTTTTCTGAACTAAGCCTCGGCTATCGCTGGTGTGAGAACGGGAGGAGGCACAGACACCAAGAGTCTTGACTATGGTGGGACGGACCATCTCTCATTTGACCTTATGACTCTGGTTTGGGCCACCTTGAAAGGGTGGCCTTTGAGACTTTTTTCCCCACCATTGAATAGACTTATTATAATCAGAAGACTTCCCATCGTCATGATAGGACGATGATGTCCCGATGTTCTGATGTTTTTAGCATATTGTCTTCTCTTTAACATCTTTTCCTCCCTTATTTAATCTACCTGTTTTTACCATCTCTAACACCCTTTAATAGAAAATGATCCTTCATCACTCTCAGCTCATTACTATTCTTTAATGTATTCAACTGCGGAGCTCCTTGCACTGCGAGACTCCCCCCTCTCGCAGGTTTGGCCCTCTCAACTATCGAGGGCTGCCTCATATTGTCATTGACAACAACGTCACATAAATTGCAACGTCACCATGCGAAGGATGGAAATTAACAGGAGTCATGGGTAGACGTGTGCGGCCCGTAAAGAAAAAGAAGGAATTAACTATGCTCGCTTTGGCGTGGGAAATCTAGAGCTGGTTTTGCTTCTTCTGTGCCAATGTGGTTTATTTGGTAAAGTTACCTACTCTTGGAAAAATAATATCCCAGGAGTTTCTTTTTCTGGATTCACCTGCTGGACAGTTGGCGTGAGGTGCCATGACAGGATGGCTGGGTCTTCAACGTGGCATTGTAGCTTTTGTGGTTGTTAGTTTGCAAAAATTGACCATGGACCCACCTGAGATGGTCTCCCTAGAAGTGGGAGAAACAGCTTACCTTTGATACTGAATTAGAGGCCACTTTTGAAACTTGCGTTTTTTGCTGACAGTAATGCATGGAATTAACAGATTAATAGATCAACTCTGGGGTTTTTTAAATAGATTTTTAGATCCAATTTTAAGGGGATCCGGGAGGAGGGTGGTTTTTAATAATAAAAATGAGACTGCGGGGTCTCTTAAGGATCAGCAGCCATGCCATTTTGACAGTCCCAGCGGGTTGGGGAGGTTGGGAGTCGTAGGAGATGCTCGGAGGAGGGTGGGACAAGCTATACCTGTGATGGTGGGAAGGGGCAGAAGAAATCGAAGTAGGAGTGGGGAGCATCACACCAGATGCATTCGGATGGTAACTTGCTCCCATACCTCCTGCTCACCCTGCTTTCCTGGGAATATGAGAGCGAAGGACCCTGGTTTCCGTCTGATATATGTGAATGCCAGGTCCATGATGAATAAGGCTCTCCTCATACGAGATCTTATTGATGAGGAGGGTGCAGACCTGGCCTGTATCACGGAGACCTGGTTGGGGCAAGAGGGGGGAATCCCTCTCTCTGATTTATGCCCCTCAGGCTTTCATGTCCTGCACCAGCCGTGACACCAGGGAAGAGGCGGAGGGGTGGCAGTAGTTATTAGAGAAAGTCTGAGTCCTAGGGAGGTCACTGTCCCTCAGATAGGCGGGTGTGAGTCTCTTCTATTGAAGTGGGACCCTGGAGTTCAGTCGGGCTTGTTGGTCACATACCTATCTCCCAGCTATGTTGCCATAGCCCTGCCCGCACTGCTTGATGTCTTGTCTGAGGTGGCACTTGAATTCCCCAGCCTTTTAGTTGTGGGAGATTTTAATCTGCCTTCGATTGGTGAGTCATCTGAGACAGTCCGGGAGTTCATGGCCTCCATGGCAGCCATGGACCTGACTCAGGTTATTCAGGGCCCAACTCATAGGGGAGGACACACACTCGACCTGGTTTTTCTCTCTGGGCAGTGGATAAATGGTCATGGTAAGGGGGAACTTTCCATCACTCCCCTGTCATGGACTGACCATTCCCTCTTTAGACTAGACTTTCAATCTGCCAACCCCTGCCGCTGGGAGACGGGACCCATAAAATGGTTCCGCCCTAGGCGCCTGATGGACCCAGAAAGGTTCTTAAAGGAGCTTGGGACATTCCCCACCTCTCAATCCTGCGATTCAGCTGAGGCTCTGGTGGCATCCTGGGAACAGATGATTACCGACGCCTTGGACAGAATCGCACCTTTGCGGCCTCTAACCCGACGCAGATCCCGGATTTCTCCTTGGTTTTTCATGGAGCTCCGGGAAATGAAACGTCGGAAAAGACGCTTAGAGGAGAGTTGGAGGTCCTCCCGATCAGAATCTGACCGAACACAGTTAAGAACCCATATTAGGTCTTATCTAGTGGCAATGGAAGCGGCGAAATGTCACTACTTCGCCGCCCTCATTACATCTGCAGAAAACTGCCCAGCGGCCCTGTTTCGTGTGACCCGCTTCCTCCTCAATCAGGGAGCGAGGGAAGACCCTTTGCAGGGCAGAGCTGAGGATTTTGTAGTTTCTGCATGATAAAATCGCTCAGATCCGGATCGGATTGGACTCTGACTGGGCAGAATCCAATCGGGAGACTAGGGTGGGTCTTGAGAATAATATCTGGATTGAGTTTGACCCTGTTTCTGTCAAGGAAGTGGACAGGATTGTGGGCAAACTTAGTTCCTCCACTTGCTTATTGGACCCTTGTCCCTCCTGGTTGGTTTCGGCTGCCAGAGAGGTCAATTGTCAATGCTCCAGGCAATTGTCAATGCTTCGTTGAGAGAGGGGAACTTCCCCACTTCTCTTAAGGAGGCGGTGGTTCGACCTCTCCTCAAGAAGCCTTCCCTGGATCCAGACTCACTTAATAACTATCGTCCCGTCTCCAACCTTCGCTTCATCGCAAAGGTTGTTGAGACTGTAGTGGCTCAACAGCTCCCACAATTCCTGGAGGAAATGGAATATCAGGCTTCTGACACGGTCACAGCACGGAAACGGCATTGGTCGCTCTGGTGAATGATCTCTGGCAGGCTCGGGATGGGGGTTGTTCCTGGTCCTACTTGACCTCTCAGCGGCTTTTGATACCAACGACCATGGTATCCTACTGCAGCGATTTGTGGGGTTAGGGGTGGGAGGCACTGTTTTACGGTGGTTTTCCTCCTACCTCTCAGGTCACTTTCAGTTTGTATGGGCGGGAGGGCAGAGATCCACTCCGAGGCCCCTTAATTGTGGGGTGCCTCAGGGGTCGGTTCTCTCCCCCCTGCTCTTTAACATCTATATGAAGCCACTGGGTGAGATCATTCGTGGCTTTGGGGTGAGATATCATCAATATGCTGATGATACCCAATTATACATCTCCACCCCAGACCACCCCACAGATGCCCTTTCCATGATGTCCCGTTGCCTGGAGGAGGTACGGGCCTGGATGGGCAGAAACAGACTCAAACTCAATCCCTCTAAGACTGAGTGGCTGTGGATGCCGGCATCTCGGGTTTCAGAGGCTCCATCACTTTTGATAGATGGGGAAAAACTTGCACCCGTTGATAGGGCTCGCAACTTGGGTGTCCTCCTGGATGTTCGGCTATCCCTAGAAGACCATCTAACGGCCGTGACCAGGGGGGCCTTCGCACAGGCTCGCCTGGTGCGCCAGTTGCGCCCTTTCCTGGACAGAGATGACCTTCGCACAGTCACTCATGCCCTGGTTATTTCCCGCTTGGATTACTGCAATTCCCTCTACATGGGCCTGCCCCTGAGATGCACCCGGAGACTCCAGCTGATCCAGAATGCAGCTGCACGGGTTGTTATGGGAGCTCCTCGTTACTCCCATATAACACCCCTCCTGCGTGAGCTGCACTGGTTACCAGTGGTTCTCCGGGTCCGCTTCAAGGTGCTAGTCCTCACCTATAAGGCCCTTCATGACTTAGGTCCGGGATATTTGCATGACCTTCTCCTGCCTGCCTCTCACCGTCCTGTTCGCTCACATAGGGCCGCTCTCCTCAGGGTTCCTACAGCGAGCCAATGTCACCTTGCTATGCCTAGGGGTAGGGCGTTCTCTGTGGGTGCTCCCACCCTCTGGAATGAATTACCTACTGAGCTCCGGACGGCTCCTGATCTCCGCTCCTTCCGTCGGGACTTGAAGACTTGGCTTTTCAAACAAATAGGCTGAGACTGATTCCGGGCTTTATTATTTACTACTAATTAATTATTTGGATTAAATTATGATTTTATTGTACTTGTTTCTTAACTTGTGTTCGCCACCCTAAGTCCTTTGGGAGAATGGTGGCATATAAATACATGTAATAAATAAATAAATAAATATCCAGATTTCCCACACTTCTTCCAAAGAGAAATAAAGTTATCTGCTTCTTTTCTAGTATCTATACATCTTAGAAACCATGCCATTCTACAAGGCTCCTTCATAAAAAGAAAGAAAGAAAGAAAGAAAGAAAGAAAGAAAGAAAGAAAGAAAGAAAGAAAGAAAGAAAGAAAGAAAGAAAGTTAGTTTATTAAAATAATCAGCACTGTCAGTATTTTGCCAAGTTTTCCAAATTAAAGAAATAGTGTGAGCTGATGTGCTCCTTGAAAAATGTAACTTCAAATATTGTAATTCTTTTCTTACATAAACTATTGCTACTGTTCTTAAGGATCAGGACTCCTTATGCACAGTCACCCATGCCCTCATCATGTCTCGCCTGGACTACTGCAACGCTCTCTACATGGGGCTCCCCTTGGGGAGCACCCAGAGGCTCCAACTGGTCCAGAATGCGGCCGCGCGTGTGATTATGGGAGCGACGTGGCGCTCCCATGTAACACCTCTCCTGCACGAGCTGCACTGCCTCCTGGTGGTCTTCTGGGTGCGCTTTAAGGTGTTGGTT